CCGCTATGGAGCGATATCCGATGCGTGAAACTCACGAGGAGCCGCGCGAACTTGCAGCCGTACGGCAAGATGATGGGGTGACGCTTGTCATACCTTAACGAGGCCGAGGAGGAAAGCCGACCACAGGAACGGATGACTCCCTGCTGGTCCATGAACGGATTTAAGCCGATGATCGTGCTGCTGGATGCCACCTTCTTCCCGTTGGACAGGGCGCGGTACTCTTGGTAGTACTCGGTCCGCTGGGTGCAGACCACCAGTCTACGATGGGCCGCCACCAGCTCCAGATGGGTGACCTCCTTGGACAGCGGAGCGGGAAGCTTCTGGCAGCACATCACAAAACGTTGGACATACGCCATCACCCTGAGCGCTCTCCCAAAGTCGGAGAAACGCTCGAGGAAATCTGGAGCTTTGGGCAATATCGCGAGATGGGTCCGAATAGGACGCTGCTCGAGGGTGGTTCCCTGGGGCACCTGCTCCGGCACGGGCCAACTCCCTCGAGGCGTCTGGAGCCAAGCTCGTCCGTGCCACCACAGGCTGCTATCCGCCAAATCCTGCGGCGCAACGCCTCTGCTCGCCAGGTCAGCAGGGTTATGCTCGGAACGCACGTGCAGCCAAGCCTGTATATCCGTGGATTCAGCTATCTTGGATACGCGATTTGCCACAAAGGTGGTCCAACTGCACGCTGGCTTGCGCAGCCAGGCCAGCACGATGTTGGAATCCATCCAGCACGCCGTTGGGTAGCTGCTGAGAGGAAGATGGGGCAGGATGGCCGCACACATGTCTGCTAGGAGGACGGCGCCACACAGCTCCAAGCGCGGCAGTGACACCGTTTTGACTGGCGCCACCCTGGTTTTGGCTACCAGGAGATGGACCTCCGCTTGCTCGTGCGCCTCGACGCGCACGTAGATGGCCGCCCCGTATGCCTGCTGCGATGCATCATAAAAGCCGTGGTACTGGAACGTACCTTATGGTCGGAAACGAACCCACCTTGGGACCCGGATCCGGTCCAGAGCGGGATAACTGCGCAAAAACTCGTTCCACTTTTGCTGCAGCTCGGAGGGGAGCGGGTCATCCCATCCGATTCCGCTGAGCCCGATTTCTTGCATAAAAATCTTGGAACGTACAATCATTGGGGCCAGCCATCCTGCGGGATCGAACAGTCTGGAAATCTGGGCCAGAACCTCCCGTTTGGTGAATGAGGACTTCTCCTCCAAAACGGATGCGATGAAAAGGAATTCATCATTGGTGGCCTTCCAGCGGATGCCCAGCGTCTTAGTCATGCTGGCATCCTCAATGTCTAGGAAGTCGGCGCGCAGCAGATGCTCTGGTGGTATGTCGCGAAGGATGTCCTTGTTGTTGGCGACCCACTTGCGCAATGGAAAACCTGCTGCGCTGAAGGCTTCTCGTATCTCTCGAATGGATGAGAGTGCTTCCTGCTTCGTATGTGCTCCGGCTAGGACGTCATCTACATACATGAAGTCCGTGAGGACCCGGCTGGCGAGCGGATACTGCGCCTTGGAGTCTTCGGCAAGCTGCAGGAGAACGCGGATGGCCAGGAAAGGCGCACAGTTCACCCCGAAAGTGACTGTGCGGAGCTCATAATCCCGCAAATCACCTGCCGGATCGCGGAACAGGATTCTCTGGAAACGGGTATGTGCGGGGCCGACCAGAATCTGCCGATACATCTTGGTGATGTCGGCACTGAAAACGTGCTGGAAAAAACGCCACTTCAGCACCTGTAAAGTCAGGTCGGCCTGTAGGACGGGCCCCGTGTGGAGCACGTCGTTTAAACTATTCCCGTTGGACGACGGGTAGGACGCATTGAAGACCACGCGGACCTTGGTCGTGGTGCTGTCCGGCTTCAGCACCGCGTGATGGGTCAAGTAAAAGTTGGCGCTGTCCGTCGGAGGAGGGACAGGGCGCATGTGCCCTAAATCGAGATACTCGTTGATGACCGCGTCATACTGCTTCTTCAACGGAGCGTTCCTACGCAGCCGAGCCTCGTTCTTGAGGAACTGGGCCATCGCGAGGGATCTAGAATGGCCCAGTTGAATGTCCTGGGGGTCCTTGAAAGGCAGCGAGACCATGTATCTGCCATCCTGCTGCCGGCTGGTGGTCTGGACGAAAAACTGTTCGCACACTGCGTCAGCCTCCTTCTCGCAACTCACCGGTATATCCTCCACCTCCCAGAACTTGGTGAGCAGCTGGTCCAAGGAAGGCTGTGTGCCTGGAGAAATGCGCGTGGTGAAGGAACGGATGGCCGTCTTCTTTGCCGCCGCCACTGGCCCGGTCAGAATCCATCCAAAAATGGTCTCCTGTGCCAGCAGCGAGCCGCAGACGTTTGGTCGGGTGCCGCCAAGCAGCACCGCAGGCAGTATGTCAGCGCCGATGAGCAAATCAATGGTGGCGCTTCGGAAAAAACATGGGTCCGCCATCGGCAGGTCAGGAAGATCTCTCAAAGCCTCGTCGGATATGGGGAACGATGGCAGGGTGCCTGCCAGTTGCGGCAGCACGTATGCCGCCGTCTCGACTTCGCGCCTCGGTTGCGAGGAAGATGCCAGCTTGACACTGCACACCTTGGTCGCGAGCCCAGATGTGGTCGCGTTCAGTCCCGATACCTGAGCCTGCACCTTCTGGAACGGCAGCCGAAGAGTTCTGCGAGTTCACGTCCACTATAGCCGTGCCGAGGAGGACGCCCTGAACGCTGCTGCTGAAATAATTCTGAACATTCGACGAAATGGACTGTAATGGATTGCATTGTGGAAGGGGAACTGATGCTGAGGGCGTCGATGGAAGGGAGGGGCCGCGGTGTAGGAGAGTGTGGTGGCGCCCCTTGCACGTAGCGCAGTTGTACTGGCTTGTGCAAGCGTTTAGTTGGTGCCCTCGGGCGAAACAATTCATGCAAAGCTTTTGATTCTTGATCACCTTGCATCGGTCCTTGACCGACATTTGCAGAAAACGCGGACACAGGCGCACGGGGTGGTTCTCCTTCGAGCAGAGGTTACAGGTCTGCGGACTGGTGCGGACCTTCGTCTCGAAAGAGGTGACTCTTCTCACAGCCGGCTCCTTTTGAGCTGGCTTCAGCATGCGAGTGCGGAGGCCCAGTTTCGCATCGTTTATCGCCTCCAGTGTGCGATAGCGATCCGAGAAGAAGCGATTCATGTCGCTCCAGGGCGGAATTTCCGATTTGTCTTGTACAGACTGCTCCCATAAGCAAAGGGTAGCTGGAGGAAGCTTGGTGGCGCAGAAAAACACCAAGATACAATCCCAATTTTCGGTGCCTATCTTGGCATTCTCGACCGCCGTTAAGCACCCTTGGATTGTGCTTTGGAGCTCCTTTATGGCGATGCCACACTCCGAAGGAATAGGCTGGCGGTTGGCGAGGACCTTGAGCTGACTGTTGACTAACAATCGCTTGTTCTCGAAACGCTTAGTCAGATTTTTCCAAGCTGATGCGAAACCGTCGTTGGTGAGTGGAGATTTACTCACGATATCCTTCGCTTCGCCTCGAGTTTTGGAGCGGAGGTGGAACAGTTTTTCCACCTCTGTCAACCGCTGGTTGCGAATGTACACAGCGGTGAAGAGGTCCCTGAATGTGGGCCACTTCAGGTAGTCGCCAGTGAAAACCTCGGTGTCCACTGGTGGTAGGTTGCAGCCCCTGAATTGGTGCTCGGGAGCTGGAGTTGGCGCTGGAGTGGGAGCACTGCTCGGCTCGGACGCGTCTCGTATCAGCGTGGTAAGCTGAGTGGCGCACCGCTCATAGACGCGGTAGCAGTGCTCATATTTGGTTTGTAACGCCTGCTTGTCGGAGTCGCCAGACTCTGATTGATTCAGAGCCCGGGAACAGCGCCGACGCTCTTGCTAGACCTGTTCCCACAGGGCTTTGACCTCGTCTAGTCGGATCTGCTGCGTGACAAGCGACACGGCTGGGTCGGACGAAGAAACTAGCGCCTCATATTTGCACAGGTCATCGCTGACCGAAATGAATTCGTCCAATACCATTCTGATTGTTTGGGAAGCGATCCGAACAGCTGCTCGAGTAGACGGAACTGGTTTCGCAATTCTGGGCACCCTCACAAAGAGCTGTGGCGAACAGCTGGTCTTCCTTGGAGAGAGAGACGAGAATGCGTTCACGGACAACTGTGATTTGGGGCTGGCCTTCTTGGCAGTGGAAGGCGAAGGTTTTTTCACCAACAAGCGCGAACCCGGACTGCTCCTCTTGGAGGTAGAGGGCGAAACTTTCTTCAACGATGACGGTGGTTTCGAACCGAACTGGGTTGTGTGTCAGAAGAAGGAACGGCCAAATGCTGCGAAGTGGATGGGACGACCGAGGTAGACGGAAGGACCAAATGCTTCTTCGTGTCCTCCTCGCCTTCACTTGGCGTACTAGGCTCTCAACCGAGCCTGATAGAATGGGCCCACTTGAGGCAGATCGGATCTGAGTACGCCGGACAAGCGGCGTTGATGTCAACTTATGACAACCAAGTTCTGCGACGAGTTTTAATTGCTCTATTAATCTGGCTTATGCAGCTGGAGGCGCTGGACTGAGGAAATAAAGCCGCCCCACAGAACTTTCGGAATAAACTCGACCGATGAGAAAGACGGGAAAAATAAAGAAAATAGTAACTTCCTTTTTAAACTGATGAAAACGCAGCAACAAAAAAATACGTGCAATTACGTTGATGAAACCAGCTTGGGGCGCTGATATGGGACGGAGAATCCCAAAAAAACCAACAACAAACCCAATAATAAATTTGAATTTAATTTTGTTAGAATTTTTTGTTAGAAAACCAATAATAAACTTGTCTTTAATTTTATTAAAATTTTTTCCTTTTATAAAACCAATAATAAATTTGTATTTAATTTTATTAAGGTTTTGTGTGACAAAATCACTGCCGCCAGTAGAAATCACTTGTATCGAAATTCATTAATTCGTCTGCACTCGTGGCTGTGACTAGTATTAGGTCACACTGCAGTCTTCAATATTCTGATAACCGGCTTCGAAACAAATGCGCACCACTTGTTTACATTTAATGGGTGAGTAATTTTTTAAACGAAAATGGCAATGTTAAGCGAAAATGGCAAGGTTCGCCTTCGATTGCAGATGTCGCCCGGGCTGAATGAAGCGCCAACAGGAGTGTTGGCGAGCTGCTTGGAATCGTGGACCGACCAGGTATGTGGTATGTGTTGTAGGATTAATTGTTAGTACATAAGCAGGTGTAATATGTGTAAATATAAGCTTATGCGTGTGAATATATTTATTGTGGGTACCAAGCATATGTATAAGAGCATGCAGACGTATGTTTATTACGGATCCAGGTTTATATATGTACATAAGCATATGTGGATGTATGTTGATGTATTTGTGGCTTCAAAATATATACATATGTATATGTCAAAAGAAAATATATGGACATATATTCGTTGTGGTTGCAAATGTATCGTGCAACACTGTATTTACAAAATATATCTTGTGCTACTAAATAGGTTGCATATGGAAACATGCAAGTGTTTATGCCGGAAAAAGGGTATGGATATGTTGGCATAAGTTTATGTATGTGGATACGTACATGTAAATATATGCGTGTAAATATGGTTGGATATAACTACATATGCCAATATATGTATATGGTTTCGATGCGGTTATGGTTGCGTATGCCAATATAAATATTGCGGACTACGTTTGATGTAGCTGCCAATATATAAATGGGTATGGATATATACGCAGCGAATGTATTGTATATTATTATTATTATTAAAAAAAAACCACTTACAATTGCAAATTGCAAGTAGCTTGTGATTTTAGCTATAGCAGCTAAGGCCTTAAGCTTATCAGTGTCAACTTATTTACAATGTGTTTACTTAAGTCTAGATTTATTTACATTTATTTACATTTCTTATTTTTATTTGTTTTATATCAGGTGGTAGAGATTCGTAGATTTAAGGAAAGCAATTGTTTGATAAATGTTTTTGGGTGAAGTTATTTTTTCTATTGTTGTTGCCAAGAATTTTGTTCTTTCTTGTTGTAGCTTGGTGCAGTCTAGAAGTATGTGGTTGATGGTTATTGTGGTGTTGCAATTTGGGCATGTGGGTGGTGGGGATTTATTTAGGATAAATCTGTGGGTAAGGTTCGTGTGTCCGAGTCGGAGTCGCATAAGTTTTATTGTGTCTAATCGTGATAAATTCGAGCTTGGTATATTGTTGTTTGTAGTTTTCTCAGGGTTGACAATCTTATAATGTTGGGAGGTGTGGTTCCATAGCGTGCTGCTGTGGTTATTCAGTTCCTGTTTGATGTATTTTCGTATGTCTGATGCGTTGAAGTTCTGTTCTGTTTTAAGTGGGTGTTTTAGAGCATTTTTTGCGATTTTATTTGCCATTTCGTTTCCCAATATTTGACAGTGTCCTGGGACCCAGATAAGTAGAAATTTGTTTTTGTATGAGCTCAAGATATTTCTTATTGTAGTTGAGTAGTAGTTTTGGTTGTTAATGTTGTCTATTGCTAATAAAGAGGATATGGAGTCGGAACAGATTGCGAATTTACCAGTTTGTTTGGCTGCATATTTGCATGCTGCGAGTATGGCTGAGATTTCTGCAGCAAAAATGGAGGAGAAGTGGGGAAGTTGTTGGTAGGTGATGGTTTCCGTCGACGTTGTGGCGCTATAGGATACTCCGGCAGTCGATTTTGACCCATCAGTGTATAGGAGTTGTCGGTAATTTAGAGATTTGAGTTCATAAAATTTTTGTTGGTATTCAACTGATTGGGTGTCTTTTTTTAGATTAAGGTGTAATGTCAAGTTAATGTATTTGTGATGGAAGGACCAGGGTGGAGTTATTTGTTTTGAGTTTTTTACAGGTGAAATTTCAATTTGTAGTTTATGGCATTGGGTTATTGTGTCTTTTAGTGATGATGGGATTTTGAGCTGCTTTTTATTTTTCTTCAATTTGTTATATATATCCTCTAAAGGGGAGTTATTTGTTGTCATTATAGTTTTAAAGTTTTTAAGTGTAGCGTGGATTGTTCTGGATTCTATTGGTTGAATGTTTGTTTCGTACAGTAGGTTATTTATTGGGGTGGTTGGGAATGCACCCGTTGCTAAGCGCAATGCCGAGTGGTATATTGTCTTTAGTTTGCTGAGTGTTGATTTAGGTGCTCTTCCATATAGGAAAAGGGCGTAATCTATTTTGGATAATATGAGGGATTTAATTATATTTATTAGTATGGTGGTGTGGCAGTTAAATCTTTTGCTTGATAAGCATTTAATAATATTGAGTCTGTTTGTGAGTTGTAGTGCGAGATTTTCTATGTGTAGATTCCATTTGTAGTTTTTTGTGAATGTGACTCCTAGTATTTTGAGATAGTTTTCATTTTTTAATGTGAAGTTGTTGGATTGCAATTGAAGTACGCATTCTTTTTTCCGGCAAATATGTAGATGTTTGCATTTGGTGATAGAGAGTGACGCACCCGAGTAGTTGCACCATTTTATTATGTCAGCGAAAAGATTGTCAATATTGAGAGAGTTTTGGGTTCAGTGGATTTTATTAACTATTGTGTAATCGTCAGCGTAAGCGGAAAAGTGAAATGTTTTGTGTATGGCTATTGTTTTGTTTAATTTATTGAATGCTATTGAGAAGAGAATTACTGACAATGGTGATCCCTGTGGTATTCAGTTTATTAGCGGTTTTGTTGTGGAGCGGGCATTATATGTTTGGACTATTATTTTTCGTTTTGTTAAGAAGTTTATTACGTATTTAATTATCTTTGGTCCTATCCTATTTTCCATGTGGTGAGTTCGTCGACTATTGTGTGGATTCCCACTCTATCGAAGGCTTTAGCAAAGTCTAATGAGATCACAGATAGATGATTTTTGGTCGAGAGGGCCGAGGTGATCTGAAAATCTAGCATGGCTAGTGGGTCAGACACCGATTTTCCCTTTCGGAAACCCATTTGCCGACTGTCGAGTAGCTGGCTGTTAGTAGCTAGCCACCAAAGTCGGTTGGATACAATTTTATCGAGGACTTTTGAAATGCAGGAGTTTAGTGATATCGGGCGGTAAGAGTTTATAGAGGTTTTATCAGTGTTTGGTTTTGGTATGGGTATGACGCTGCTGATTTTAAATTGTTGAGGGATATGCCCATTTAGAATTTCATTAAATAGATTGAGTAGTCGATTTTCAAAGGTGGGGGACAAATTTTTAAGCATGGGGTAGCTAATACGATCTCTTCCAGGTATTTTCCCTTTAAGTTGATTAAGTGCGGCTTTAAGCTCAAGAAGAGTCACATCGTTTTCAATTTTCATGGCTACGGGCGATGGGGTGTGGCTTATAGTATGGCAGGAGTTTGTTTTGTGGTATCTAAATTCTGGGTGGAAGTTGTTATCTGAGGATGCGGTTGACCAATATTCGCATAAAGTATTGGCTATTTCGGTTTTGTTTACTATTGTTTGTGTGGAGTTGTTCGGATTGACAAGGCAGTGGATATCGTGACGGGTATTTAGGCCACAAAATCTGTTGATGTTGGACCAAATTTTTGATGTGGAAGTGGATGGATTTATTTCTGCTGTAAATGTTTGCACCGCGTTACGTTTTTTGATTTTAAGCTCACGCTTGAGCTTGGCATTAGCTTTTTTGTTTTCCGTACTAATGTTCCTTTTGAGGTTTAGCCAGGCTGTATTTTTTTTATTTTTGAGCTGTTGTAGAGTTTTGTCCCACCATGGGACCTCTTTTGCATGATATATGTGTGTCTGTGGAATGGATTGATATGCACTTTGTAAAATTATTTTGACTATGTTTGCTGTTTCTTGGTTAATTTGCTGGCTGGGTTGTTTTGCATTTGAGTATTTGTCTGTGAGTTTTTGAAACAGTGACCAGTTAGCTTTGTTTAAATTAAATTTGGGTTTGAAGGTGGGTTTACTTGGGCTATTTTCTTGGAATATTGTTAAGTGGATGGGGAAGTGGTCGCTTCCTGAGAGATAGTTGCTTATGTTCCATTTTATGAATAGAGCGAGGTCGGGGGATGCTATGGTGAGATCGATGTTTGTGAATGTGTGATGTGTTGTGAAGTGTGTAGGGGAGCCATCATTGAGAGTAGAAAGGGAAGATTGGTTTATAAATTTATAAATTGTGTTACCTCTGAGATTGTTAGTTTGTGAGCCCCAGCTTCTATGCCAGCTATTGAAATCACCAGTTATTAGTAATGGTGGTGTGATATTGTTGAAGGTATTTCTAAGGTTATTTATTGAAAAAGGCTTATTTGGTGGAATGTACGATGAGATTATTGTGAACTTTATTTTAGAATGTATTGTTACTGCTACTATGTCGAAGTACGAAGTGTTGATGTTGATTTGTTGTTGTTCTATGGAGTTGTGTACAAGAAGTGCCACTCCTCCGTAACCGTTTGTCAATGAGTTTTTGTGGTAGAGTGTATAGTTAATTGGGATGGGTATGTTATGTGTATTGTACAGGTGTGTCTCTTGTAGAGAGATTATTTTAGGGTTTTGGTTTTTTATGAGGATTTGCAACTCATTATAATTATTTAAATAACCATTTAAGTTCCATTGCAGGACTTTTAACATTTAAATTAGAAGTTTTTATGCTTTTGTTCGTTTTTATCCTTGGATTTAAGAGGTTTGGAAAGAGAGTTTTGCTTATTACTATAAATTCTAAGTTTAAGGTCTTCTGTGAGTTGAGTGGAGAAGTTTGCTGTTGGTTTTTCGGTTGTGGATGGGATTGTATCCATGATTGTATCATAGATATCTTCGTAGGATGTGGTACTTCTTTCTATTGGGCTGTTTTGTTTTTGTTGCGGAGACAAGGTGTGATTCGATGGTTTGATGATTTGGGTAGATGTAGATGGTGTTGTATGTGTGGGCTTCGAGCAATGGTTTGTGGATGGTTTAGCTGGTTGTTCTGTGACGACTTTTGCATATGGTGTAGGTTGATGAGTGTGGCGGGAATTATATATTGAGAGGGCGGTTTTGTGGTCTACCTTTTCTATTGTTTTTATTGTTCTTTTTGTTTTACAATGGCTGGGCATGTTTTATCAAACGGACTGTGGTTGTTTTGGTTAGTAGGTTCATATTTGCAGTTTATGCAGAATTTTTCTTTGGTACAGGATTCGTCTTCGGCTGTGTGTTGTTCCGCAGAGCAGTTAGTGCATGCTGTAGGGCTCTTGCAA